CAATCCCATGTACTACAGAGCAGAACTCATGAACTCATGGCAATCCCATGTACTACAGAGCAGAACTCATGAACTCATGGCATTCCCAGGTACTACAGAGCAGGACAGTTCCAGGGGGTTTCTTGGCTGTGGTCTTTATGAGAACACATTGTCGGGCCTCTCTTCCATGGTACCATTAGATTGGCTTGAACCACCAACCTTTCGGTTGGTGAACTCAGTTTGTGCTACTCAGAACTCTTCAATGAGAATGAAGAGCAAAAACTGCTGATTTAATTCATTAGAGTTGCCGTGGGTGGCTTGACACCAAAGGGGCATGTGGTGTGGGTGGCAGGGAGTAGGACCTCTTGCTGTGGGCAGATAGATGTACAGGCAGTTCCAACAGTATGTATGGCTAATTGAGGTAGTTAGTTTATTGTGCCAGCCTGGCTGATAAACACACGTGGGATTAATTGAAGGGTGGAGAGATAAATGGCTCAGCGAGACGCCCCTTTCTTGTCTCTTGCTCTTTGATCATTGGTCGAGGATGCGGCTGCCTTGCTTGTTCTGTGCCTCCATTTGCAAGCTTCACTACCTGTGGGACACCTAACTCGTGGACTGTGTCACTGTAATTTGAGGTTCCTTCAAGACCTGCTTCACCACACCATTGGAATTTACATCACTTGAGCTGGGAACTGTCAGACCCTGTCATCTGGCTGACTGTTGGTGACCTGCCTTGCTGTTTGTTGCTTGTGCCCGGAAAGCCTGAATTGCTCTACAGAGGACTACCCAGCATCCCTCAAGAGTTGAAGGACTGCCAGTGTCTCACAACTGTCTCACGGGAGTGAGGTGCACTGAGTCATTTGTACTGCTTTATAATTTAATTATTTCTTATGTTATATATCTATCTGTATAAATATATATAAAATTATTAGCATTCTGGTTTTGTTTCTCTAGAGAACCCTGTCTAACACACTAATACAACAACTTCGCTGGGGAGGCAGCTGCAGGCTCCCGGGCTGACGAGGGAGAGAGAGCCCAGAGATGAGAACCAGGAGTGAGGTCAGTGGGAGAAGTGATCACAGTCATTGACAGCAAAGGCCTTCAAGAGCTGCGGGATCTTTGGGGAAGAGGAGTGACTTCAGTTGATCTTTGCTGGTAGGGTGAGAGGTTAGTCTTTGTGTGGGAGCATGACCTGTAAAGTCGGGCTTACCCATTCCTCTTATTCTTATAGCACATCAACCAAATGCTTTAGACAAGTACCATCTACTATGGCAGTCACTGGTGCCAATTTAAGTTAATTAAAAGTATCAACTTAAAAATTCATTTCCTCTGTCACATTAGCTATATTTCACAAGTGCAACAGTCAAATGGGGCTGATGGCTGCCTTATTAGAAAGTTCTGTCACTATCAGTAGGACCTCTAGACAGTTTTACTGAAGGGCTCTGCTATCGTCATAAAGGCTGAGTTTTCTGTTTGGTAAAAAGCAACTAGTGTGTACAAGGGGGTGTCAAAAACTGTGGAAAACTGGAACTAAGAGAAAGAAATTTTCCCGGGGGGGTGGGGCAGGAAAACATTTTTTTCCCATGAATTTTTTGTAATGTTTAGCTGAGGCTATGTTGAAAACCCTGTATAGTGGAGTTTTAATGAAATGTTTGTACAAAGTAGTAAATATTTGTTTGCCATTCTGTGGTTAAGAAGACAGGTAAAAGACACAAGTCTTATTACGAAAAAATGGCATTCAGTATTTGAGAGAATGTATTTGCTTTCCTTTAAAATGGAAAACAAAAATGTTTTCAATGGCCAATTTACTTCTAAGCTTATAAAAATGCTTTCATAAAGCAATACACACAAGCCAAACAGCACGAAGGTATTTACAGAATCTTTCACTGCCATTGCACAAACTCATAATGACCCTATAGGGCAGGGTGGAACTGTCCCTGGGACTTTAACTCTTATAGGGTAGAGAGTAGTGGAACCGCTGGTATATTTACAAGGCTAGCCATGCAGCTCTCAACCCAATGTGTAACCACTACTTTCCCAGGGCTCTAGATGGTAAAACGGTTCTAGCTGCTGATGGAAAGGTTGGAGTTTCAAGTTCACCGAGGCACCTCAGGGAAAAACCTGACAGCCAACTTCAGAAGCTGCACCCACTGAGGTCCTGTGGCGCATTACTCTAAGCTGACACTCACTCACTGAGCCCTGAGCTGGAACGGACTCGATCACAACTGTAGTTCCTTTTTCTTAAACAGTTTATTTCCCCACAAACGGCTTGATTTTGGGTCTGTCTGTCCCTGATGATAGTGTCTGGTAAACAGTGGACTGCTAACCCCAGAGCTGGAGGTTCCAATTCACCATGACTTGGATGAAGAGGTTCTTTCTGCTCCTGGAAAGATTTGCCGCCTCAGAAGTCCTGGGGTCGCGATGGTTGGAATCAACTAAATGGCAGCGAGTTTGGTTTGTTTCTTTTCCTCCTGGTTGTAACCGTTTGTGCTTATGTAAATATCATATGCCTGGTGAGTTGATGGAGGAATGAAGGGCCTCCTGTCCTGGCCACGGTGTAGTGGGCTGCAAACTGAGCTGCTAACCACGAGGTCAGTGGTTTCAGCCCACCGGCTGCTATGGGGGAGAAAAATGAGGCTGTTTGTTCCTATAAAGATATACCCTCTTGAAGCCCTATATACGGTCACTATGAGTTGGAACTGACTTAATTGCAGTGTTTTCGTTTGTTTTGTTTGTGAACTGAGGAGTTGAGGAGTCCCCGTGGACACGTGGGTTAACGGCTGGGCTGTGACCCAGAAGGTGGGCAGTTTGGACCCACTAGCCGCTCCTCTGAAGAGCGCGGTGGCAGTCTGCTTCTACAAAGACGCACAGCTTCGGAAGCTCTGTGGGGCAGAGGACTGTCCTGAAGAGTCACTGTGCGTTACATCAACGTGATGGCAGGGGTTTGCCTTGGCCCTCTTGCTTCATGAGCCAGCGTAACTGATGTGCCGCATCGCAGGCTGCCGGGAGGACTGGCATACGTGCGAAGAAGAGGGTGAGGCAATCCTCAGAAAGAACCCCCGGCGTTCGCAAGCACTTGACTTTTGCACACACACAGATAGATACTGCTTGTTACCTGAACCTCACCTGAGGCCCAGCTAACTAGGTAGCAGGCATAGATGTGCAGGTTCCAGACACAAGGGAAACCACGCAAGCCTCTCCTTCTCTGAGTTCCATTGTGAGAAGGGTGTGTGTCAGTAAAGATGAAAATATATGCAGTACTTAATGCTTCACACTCTAGCCAAAGTCGTTTTCTTGGCCGAGGAGCTTAAAGTGCAGAACTTGGGGTTCATAACATTTTCTCACGTTTGCTGATGCATGATAATTTGTTCTGACACCGACTCTCCTTCTCGTAGGTGAATGTGCAAACGATGGAACACTCATAATGCACCTTCTCCTGGGTGCTGCCGCTTTGAGAGTGAAGCTAGAACCGTTTAGGAAGAAGAGATCATCCACCTTTTTAGACTTGAGTAACCTCCATGGCCTTGAGCAGAAGTAGACGTTACTCAGTTTCAGAGGGGTGAACAGGACAACACAGAACTGGTTCCTTGCGCCTGCAGCCAAATTCATTAAGGAATGCGTGCCCTTCTTAGGAGAAGAAGGGTATGTCTACAAACTCTAGGGCAGCGTTTCCTGAAAGATACTCAGAAAAGAAATTAATTTCTTAGGATGTCATCAGATTGGCAGCTGCTATGGTAGGTTGATAATACGGTTCTGTGGGCCAATTCTGGAAAAAATTACATTTCTTAAGGCACAAGCTATTAAAACCTAGCCCCTCACCTTCAAAAACCCCTGCACATGTTTATTTAGTCCAGAGCCTCCCAAACTCATCTGGACTGCATTTTTCATTTTGGGGGTATAACAACCAGGACTGGTGAGCCTGTAGAGTCAGCAAGTGGAATAAGGGCTTGGGGTGAATGGGGACACAGAGGAAGTGACGGGGTGAAGGGGTGATGATGTCAAGGGTCCATATAGAAAAAGAATGTTTGGAAAATGATTGTGGGAGCTAATGTGCAATTCTGCTGGACATGATTGATGAGGGGGTTCCCCCCAAACTCTGCTTGGTGGAGCAGAGTTTTCATAGTATGCATTTTCCCCACGAGCTGAGCACTGAGCAGCTTGCTCTGTTAGGGCACCCAATGGCATTGCTGGGAAGGTTCTCTCTGGTCTCAGTGAATTTCTTTGAAAAAACAATGTAGCTGAAATCTCGTGTTGTGTGTGTGTGTGTGTGTGTGTGTGTGTGTGTGTGTGTGTGTGTGATGGCTGTTAAGAGAACAGCGTATGGTTGTGAAATTCTGTTTCCTGCTCTGGAAAAAATGCTGAAGAAACTTGTGATATTGAACATAGCTGTCAAGGACAGTGCTACGGGAAAAACTCAAGTGTATGAATGGTTTTCTCGTTTCAAATAAGGTGAAATGTAGATTGATGACAAACCTAATTCTGGATGTCCACCAGCTTCCCTAACAGACAAAAATGTCGACTTATAGTGCATTTGGAGTTCGTTCCACCAGGTCAGACTGTTAATCGGGCTTTCTATTTAGAGATTCTAAAAAGATACGTAACAGTGTGCAACAAAAAAGGCCCGAGTTGTGGCCAACACGACAATGTACCCACCTATGCAGCCATCTCCGTGCACCAGTTTTTGGCAAAAGCAGCATGCCTCTCTTGTCCCACGCACCTAACTCAGCTGACCTCACTCCTTGCGACTTCTTTTGTTTCTGCAAACCCAGAGGGATATGAAAGGGCAGCGATTTGACGACGCGGAAGAGGTGAAGAACAAGATGAGAGAAGTGCTGTCTGCCATCCACACAGGTGGGTTTGCAAATGTTTCCAAGAATTGAATTGCAGATTTGACAAATGTGTTAAGTGTAATGGAAAGTACGTTGAAGGTGATAAGGTTGCTTTGTAAAACAATCAGTTTTGTTGCGGGGGCAACCCCCTTTAAGGAATAAACCCAAATAAAAAAAAAAAAGAAAAGAAAAAACTTAAAGTACTCTAGAGCATAAAAAAAGAACTCAGAGAAGAGGAAAGGTTCAATAAGCATACAAAAAGACAAACAACCTACATTTCAGTCTTCTGCAACTTGCTGTTTTCAGTACAACACACTGCCTCTATGCTTTCTCCATCCATGTCATTGTGTATAGCCACATTCATTTTCACTGCTGTAATAGTTAATTGTGTATTCTACAATTCTGTTGCCTCTGTAATTCATTCAGTATGACTTTACATTTGCAAAGCTCCCAGACAGAAGTATAAAACATACTGCTTAAAGATACATGCCTGATAAAACTATTTTTTT